ACCTCGGGAGCGCGCGGGAGTGCTCTCCGCCCCTGCGGGCAGGGGGGACGCGGCCACAGCGGGGGGCCGGCCGGGGCGCGGGGCTACGGGCTGGGAAAGATCAGGAGGCGCGCTCCGCATCCGCCCCCTCCGCTCGACAAACATGAAGATGACCTACGTAGGCAGGAATTGAGAGGCTTTTGCCATGGGCGAGGGCTCCGTGTCTGTGAGTGCTTTATACTAATTAAAAGTGTTTCCCGTGAGTTTCTGGTCGGCGAGCGCCCGCCTGTGGGTCGGCCTCTCTTCTCTAGGGGGGCAGCCGGCGGGCGGTTCTGCTCTGGCCGAGGCCGGAGGCGCCCCGCTCCTTGAGCGCAGGGGCCGGCCCTGCCGCTGGTCCGTCCTGCGCCTCCCGCGGAGCCCCTGGCGGCGGACCCTCTTGGTTCTCCGGATTTCTGACCCTCGGCTGACACGCTGCGGGGGTGGCGGTGTCCTCCTCGCGGGGATCCGTGGGCCTGGGTTCTGCGCTGCGAAACGTGTCCCTTGCGGGCAGTATCGGCTCGACCCCCACGTCTTGGCTCGACCCCCACGTCTTCCCTCAGGCCTGTTCGTGCTGGCTTCGCTGCGTCCCAGCCCGGCTGCGCCTCCCAGCCCCGCAGGCACTCTCCTGGAGGGGGCACAGCCCAGGCCTGAGCAGCCCTCCTGGGTCGCAGGGACTGCAGAGCGTTCAGCTTCACCTGCGTGGTTCCGCGGAAAGGCCCCAAGAGGTGGGCCTCCTGGCGTTACCAGAAGCGAGCATGGCTGTAAAAACGAGGGATGCATAACACAGACCACAGCCTCGGAGAGCAGCGGACTCCAAAGGCGGCCGAAGCCCAGCCAGCCGTGCCTGGGAAGACCAGAGACCAAGCACCAAGCGGCACAGCGCGGGAGGAAAGAGACGGACTGCCTTCGCGGAGCTGCTCGTTTAAGCAAAACTGGTCAGGAAACGTCGGTAACGAGGACCCCTCCGGGAAACGGGGAAAGGACACCTCCAGGCAGGGTTCAGGAGCCAGTGACAGCGTCCGTAAAAAGCTGGTGAAATAAAGGCGCGTTCCGGCACAGGGCGACCGACAGAGCCGGGCGCCAGCAGGTCCGGGCTCGTCCGCCCTAAATGGCGTCCTCCGCCGGCCGGACTGCCCTTCTCGCTCATTTCCGGCTTTGACGTGGAATGTCTGTTTTGCCCTCCTGTGCAGCCGTGACTGGGTTTACGGAGAAATACGTGTTCTTTCCATGAGGTGAACACCTGGCCTGAATGTATGAAGACTTTAAATAGGCGACGCAGGCCCAGGCTTTCCCAAAGCGGAGTTTGAAAACACACCGTTGCACGTGACTTTGCGTACGGGGAACCCGCCATCCCTTTGACAGGATTTGATACTGATGGCCTGTCTACCACGACGCCTCCCAAGGCCTCACGCTCGTCAAGGGACTGGACGGTCTCAGAATCCTTGAATCGTTCTTCAAAATTTGACTGCCTGGCGAAATTGCGAGCATTTGAGTCAATAATTGGAGTCTCTAATGTAAAAATGCGCACTTCATATACAGCGCAGTAGACGTCCGCGTGGACGCTCCGACGTGTGGCCGTGTGCAGGGAGCACAAGCAACGGTGAAGCACAGGGCTCTCGCAGCCAGCGGACGGAACCGTGGTTTTCAGTGGCCTTTGTCACGGGCACCCCCCGCAGCAGAAGAGGGGCCGCGGCGTCCACCTTCAGAAACAACGTGGGTCCTACGATGGGACCGAAAGACTCCGTGGAGTCAAGGAGCAGCCCCGTCGGACCGGGCAACCCCGCGGCCTCGCTGCAAGTCCCACGCCCGCACGGGACCCCGGCCGCCGGGGCCTGCGCGGGCCCTGCTGCGAAGACCTGGAGGCCCACGGCAGCCAACGGACGACCGCCGTTGGACCGGAGAAGCACCCCAAGGTCCCTCCGGGTGGGTTTCGTTCCAGGGCCGTTTACGACGAACTCTCCTATCCCGCAGGACAAAATAAAAAATGGGCCCCCCACTCTCCGGTCCCACAGGACCCAACAGAGCTGTCCCCATTCTCCAATCCCACGGGGAAAGGAGACGATGCCGTCTCCCCGCGACTGTCCCACAGGAGAAAATACGTCGTGTGGTCTGCAGGCTCCCGTCCCGCGGGACAGTGGGACGTTCCGCCGCGCCTGGCACACAGCAGGCCCCCCCGCCCCTGTGTCTCGGACACACTCGGCCTGGCGGAGTGTGTTTGACGGGCAGCGTTAGGAGCCCCGGAAGCACGCTCCGGAGGGAGACGCGCGGCACGCGCCGCAGGGCACGAGGCGCAGCCTGCGAAAGAGACCGGGGAGGACCCGGAAGATTCCGAGGCGCAGACACGGAAGAGCAGCTCCCCGACATCACGGGCGCGCCTCGGTCAGCCACGATCTTTGGGGGAGCAATTATGGTCGATCAACCGGACGGCTGCAGAGCGAGGCAGGTGGAGGTCGTAGCAAGGGTAGCGGCCGCTGGATACATAGCTCCTTGTGCGTTAAGTGGTCTCAGCCTACGGGACGACAATCAGCTCTTCTCTGGGGGGCTGGGAACGCGGCCCAACGCGAAACTGTCCCTTTGCGTCGAACGGTAGGAGATTTTTTTGATCGTGATGGGTTGCAATGGATTTAATGTGCGGCCAAAGGCAACGCTTCTTGCAGCGCGGTGCAGGCACGCCAAAAGGTTGGACCCCCCCCCCAGCCCCCGCGCTGCAAGACTGCAGAGTCCTTACCCTCCCCACCCCCGATGTTTCCAGGAAGGGGTCGGGGGCGGACGGGGGCGGACGATTTCGGAGCACAGCTGGGGCCGGAGCGGAAGGCCGTCCTTAGCCTTTCCTCACTCCCCTGGATCTTTACGGACGACTCGAAAGACCGCGGGTGACAGACCTGCTCGGCCATTCTCGTCGATGGCCACGGAGGTGTGGCCCGACCCCGCGGGGCGCGGACCGTGTTCGGCGGCCAAGTGCGGAAGAGAAAGAGGCTAAACCGCCCTGTCTTTTGGGTGACAAGAGCCGTTATCACGTGCAAGTTGGTTTTTCAAGTGTGGGAACCACAGCGCGGAAGGCGCCTCAGATTTAGCATCAGACGGGCATGGGGCGTCGAGCGCCTTTGAGCCCAGAGCGCCTGCTGTTGAACAGCAGCAGGGCGTGCTGCCGCAAGGCCACCGCAAGGCCACCGCGCGTCTTGCAGACCTTTTTATGGAAGTCACTCAACTGTGACTGAGGGGGGGGAACTCGAATAGGCCGGAGACGGCCCGTGCGGGGTGGGTGTCACTCTGCGGCCTCTAGGCCCCAGTGAGAGGGCCCTGTCCGCGGGTTGTCACCCGGCCCAGAAATGCTCCCGAAGGCTGCGCAGCCCGCGCGCCCGCGGCAGCGGCGGGTTCGGGAGCCGCGGCCCGACCCCCGCGGACCCCTGCCGGGCCCTGAGCACGCGCACACGGCGGCCGCGTGCGTTGGTCCCCGCTGTGCGCCCTGCCTCCGGGACCTCGAGGGGCTCCTCAGCCCCTTAGCGGCGCTGGAGGGCAAGGGCGCCTTCCGGCCGGAGCGCAAGACGGAGAAGGAACGAGGGAGCTTTCAGGAAGCAACGGAGTTTCTCCTGGGCAGAATGAGTCGCTGCGCTGGGTTAAAACGAGAACCGCCCCCCACGCCCCCAACACACACACACTTGAGGTCACATTTTCCCCAAAAGAAAACTGAGCCGGACCAAGGACCTATATCCTTGAGAAACGTGTGACACTTCTCTGTTATCCGTGCAAAATGGCCGAAGGACTCGAAAACATCAGTGTAAACAGTTTTGAAGAAGAATATCCAGTCCAAAAGGGACCAATTCACCGTGCAAAGGCACCAAGTTTCACTTACATATGGCAATGACATTGTACAGGATGTGGGCTGTTTGCGTTTCCCTTACATATATGGTATAAATGACCCTTTACAGTGTTTGAGTGCTGGCTGAGCTTTTTTCTTTTAAAGGTCCATTAGTCACAGGGATGTTTTCCGTTTATTAGAGGATAACATTTTCTCACGGTTAAAATCACAGCTCCAGACCAACATTATGTGAACAGGGGCCAAAGATTTTATTCAACGCAATTGCGCAGGGAGGGAACCAGGAAGATGTTCCCAGGGGCCAGTGGGAAGAGAAGTCACAGAGCAGCCACAGACACAGGCCACTAAGAACACTCCTGAGTATTTAATGAGTGTTCAAACGCGGGTCACGGTTACAGCGTCCTGGCCGATACCCTGTCCCAAAAATGTGTTGCGGCTCTAGGTCATCCCTGACATCAAACACAGTTACATCCGAGAGCGGATCAGGAAACGCCTCGCTCTTCGAGCAGACAGGAGATTTCTTCGAGGTAGAACATTCTCCGGTGAGGACAGGGACCTAGACACAGGATACAGGCTACAGCTATGTTCACAGTGCACAGGAACTGCGGGGACACGGTCCGCGGTGATGTCCGCGCGGAGGCGCCCGAGATGTTCTCCGGGCGTGAGAGGAGCGCCGGCAGCTGCTGACGTGGAGGGTAATGTCCTAAGGGCTTGTCCGTGACCTGCTTTTCCCACGCGGGTCCCACACCGAATGCAATGGCTGCCTCCCCTCCGCGAGCAGCGGCTGCACGATCCCCAGGGAGGCGTGCCGCCGTCCGGAACATGTACAAACATACGTACACGCACACAGGCGTGCACTGAAGAACATACATACACAGATACACATGTCACACGCGCCAGTCCGGGTGTAGGAGGAAGGACACGCAGGCATCACTGCGTTCTGTGTAGGACAGGAATGTGTGCGCACCCGCGTCGGCGGTGTCCAGGCGTGCGCGTGTGTTCACGCCACACGGCCATGAGGCGGTTCCGCGAGGGGCAGCGCATCCTCTGCCCCAGCAGTGCGGCCTGTAGCGTTTGCGGGCAGGTGTGCCAGTGACAAGGCGGGCTGGCCGTGGGCCGGCGAGGCGGCCGCCGTGGCTTCCTCTGCGGCTTCCCGGGCGGGGCGGCGGGGGCGGGGCGGGGGCAGCCACAGGGCGGCCTCTCAGGCGTAGGGCGGCAGCCCGAACAGCTGGGGCTGGAAGTCCTGCAGGGAGCCCAGCACGGCGGTGGCCTTGGCCGTGAGGTCTTGCCGCAAGTTGGCATCGGGGACCATCACCACCTGCATCCCGGCTGCGAGGGCCGCCTCCACCCCGTTGGGAGCGTCTTCAAACACCAGGCACTGCAGGGGCGGGGAGAGAGAGAAGGTTGAGAGGGCCTGTGCACAGGCAGGCGCCGGGCCGGCCCTGAGGACCTCGCCGGGGGCAGCGGGGACTGTCAGAGCGGCCCCGGCGCTGCGGGGTGGGGGGTGGGGGGGGCAGGCCTTCCCGCTCACGGCTGCGGGGAGCAGGGCGCGCTGTTTCTTACACGGCTGTTTCTGTCGGCCCCAGCGGTCGCCAGCCCGTGGCCCCTGTCAGCGGCCGCCCCACGATGGGGCGGGTTTCTCGGTGTAAAACTTTGCTTTATTGGAATCACAAACATCTGTGCCATCAAGGATCGAACGTCTGGCGCGTGCGAGGAAATTGCAGGGCGCGGGGGGGACATGCGTTTCGGTGCCTCCCAAGCTCAAAGAGGCCGTGGCTGTGGGGGGCCGGCCTCACGCCACCGGGCTCTGCCCCGCCGGCGCCGCGTGTGCCTGCGTGTGCACCACCCCCTTCCCTGTACCGTGGGAACCCGCTCTGTACACGGAGAGCGACGCCCGCGCCCACGGCCACGTTCCCCACGGGGCGTCTGCGCACCTCACCCGCGGGGGCCCCCGAGGCCGCATCTGGGGGCCCCACCACGATGCTGGTCACGTCCGGACTGGGTCAGAGCGAGAGACCCGCAGCGCGGCCCCCGGCGGGCGGCACGCCCGCGCGCTGTCCCCTCCGCCCCACGCAAAGGGGCCCCGGGAAGGCGTCCCTGCATCCCGGAACCCGCCCCCCGCACAGCGACCGTGGCGGCGGCCGCCTTCCCGGTTGTTTCCAGCTGAGCTGTGCGGGGCGCCCTCCCCACACAGGGGTCCTGCGGGCGCCGCAACTCCCGGGCTGCGGCAGGGGTCCCTCGCAGGGGCCCTCCGCTCTTCTCCCAGCCCACGGCCCCTTGCCTTTCAGCCCAGGACCGCGCTCCCTCCGTCGGGTCTGGGCGCGGGAGCAGCTGCGGGTCGGGAGGGGCTCGGGCGGCGGCTGCAGGTGCCGTCCGAACCGGCAGCTCTGCGCCTCTGGTGCTTGCGGTCAGCGGGAGGACAGACACACAGCGCTCCTCTCTCTCTCTCTCTCTCTCTCACACACACACACACACGTAGACGCACGTGTGCACACACACGCAGGCTCTCCTGGCGGCCACGTCTGTAGCAGCTCCAAGGACGTCCCCCCTGGCTCCCCGCTCCTGTGCGCCCATTGGAGCAAAGATGTCCTTCGCTGGTCGCTCCCAGCGCCCAGGCAGGACCGCGATGAGCAGCACAGGCCGGGCTGGACGTGGCTTGTCAGGGAGCCACGGCCACCAGAGAGCACGTGGTGCCCACCCGCGGGACGTGGGGGGCCAGGGGGATCGGCCCGCACCGGACCCAACGCAACAGAGGAGCCGCACAGCGTCCGAGCCCTGGGACAGGGCCTGGCCCAGCCCCCGCGTCACAGGCGTGGGACCTGAGCCAGGAGAGGCTCAGAGGTCAAATCAAGGTCCCCTGGGCAGGCAGGGGAGACCACGGAGGAGCAGAGCCCGGCCCCCAGAATTCAATACCCTTCCCCTCTACCGAGCTGGAGGCTGAGCTATATCTGCATTCTGTCTCCAGGAGAACAGATGAGCTTCATTAAACCATAGCCGGAGGGGCTGAGTTTAGAAAGAGCCACGTCGCACTCCCGGGGAGGGGAAGCCCGGCAGGGGCACGCCGCCGGAGGGGCCGCGCCGCCTTCTCCGCAGACGGCGGACGCTGTGCGGGGCCTGCGCCCACGGAGCTGTCCAGCAGGCGCTCAGCCGAGCCCCCCGGAGGGGCAGGGCGGCCGCACTTCCCTGCCCTTCAGGACCACGTGACTGAGGGCTCCCGTGAAGGGGAAGCTGCCGCCCTCGTGGGGGGAGTGGAGCGACGTGGACGGGAGCGGGGAGAGCTTTCCCGAAGACGCGAGAGGCAGCCGGGAGATGGCGCGCTGCAGGCCGAGGCCAGGCGAGGCCGGAGCTCCCGCCGGGGCGCGCGCCCGACATGCTGCCTTGGGAGCTCCTCCGGAGCGTGTCCCCGACGGGGGTTCCCGCGCCCGGGCACCCCGTCACTCTCCCTCCAGGCACGGTCCTGCGGGGCCCGCCCTGCTCCAAGGGAACCTCCCACGCACTGGCGCAGGTCACCCCACAGAGGACGTGGGGGAGCGGCCACACAGCTGGGGGCTCTGTTCAGGGACGGTCCCTCTTCAGTCCTCACCACCAGCTCCCTCCAGGGCCTGCTCCTTCCAACGGGTGCCGTGCAGACCAAGCTGGCGCCGCACGTGGTCACGGGTTCCACGTCGTACACAACGCTCCCAAGGGGACCCCGTTGGCCTTGCTCGGGGAAGCACACCCCTAGGGGCTCAGGAAGCCACTTCAGCCCCCTTCCCGGCGTGGATGTGCTTGCACGGGGGCTCCCTGGGGGCCCCCCCCACAGCGGGCGCACAGCTGCCCACCAGGGAGAAAGGCCTCTGCGGCCCAAAGCGAAGCATCAGCGACCACGGTCCCCGGAGCCGCTCCAACTGAGGTTTCTCCCTACACCACTGTTGGTGACAGATTTTTATCCTGCGCGTTAATCTTGTAACCTCACGCACAGTGTTCACAAGGCAAGACATCAAAACTTTGAGAAGGTCTTAAAGTACCATCCACTGAGTTTGGATCAACAGCTTTGTGGTCAAAGGGTGAGTCTGCGTCCGTTCTCTGTCGGTGAAATTACCTATAAACGAGTACCACCATATTGGGATACGGAACGTGTACACGCTTTATTATACGTTTACTGAAATGATAAGCCTTTATGTAAAGTCCAAGAAGGAAAGAGTATATATGTTTTCTGTTATGAATTAGCATTTTTGTTTATATGGTTCATCTGTCCATCCAACGATCCATCCTCCCATCCACTCACCCTTGCACCCACCCATCCCCGCATCCGCCTCCCTCCATCCGTCCACCCACCCACGGATCCGTTTCCATCTCTGCATCTCCCTCCCTCTGTCTCCCCCACGCACCACCCACCCACCCACCTGTAGGTAAAGCAGACCCCCCAGGCTGTGCTTGGGTCCCGGACACAGCCGTGCCCGACTTCGAGCGCAGTGTCTCCGCCCATGGCAGAGCTACTGGCTTACTCAGTTACTATTCGTACGAAAATCAAAGTATAAATCCGGCACGGAGTAAATCCTTTAGAGTTCCAAGTTGGTATGTGCACGGACGATACCACGAAAGGGACTCCTCTTCCTTCGGGGAAGAAAGCCTGGAAGCAATTTAGAAACGGGCCATAAGCTCCCTGGGAAACGCTATCGCTTCCGTCAGGAGAAGTCAATGGTGAGGCACACTTACTATCCCTTTTTAGGTGCAGGCGCGTAAAGTACGTGCTGAGCAAAGGACCGCAAGAGAGCTGCAACACCTTTCTCTAATTTTCATTCTGAATAATGCAGATCCTGTGGCCCTCCCCCCGACTTGTCAGGAACCACTGAAAAGTCCAGCAACCCTCTCGGAAGCACCTGAACGGTTCAAAAACCCCCGTGTTCGCAGTTGGTCGGTGGCCCCCAGAACCCGCGCTTTCTTTCCCTACGGCGTCTCTGCAGTCAAGGACGCGTGCAAAATCACCTGGTCTTCCTCCTCGGTCCGTGGCGCCAGCGGCGACCTTGGGCCCCATCCGGTCCCCGAGCAAAGGGGTCCAATAGCCGCATCAGCGGCGTCATGCTCAGCGCCTGCCTGACGGATGTGCCTACACAGGGGGTGTGGGCCAAGGGGCGGGCTCAGGGGTGTCCCCCCAAAACTGCCTTCACGGCTAAGCCCGCCGTGACCGTCCGTGGACACGGGGTGCTCCGAAAGACTTGAAGGTTGAAGAGTGGCCCTCTGCCAATGGGACGAGTGCTCCTACACGACAAGGAAGAGCGACCGGGCTCCCTCGTCCTCCCACCGAGCACGCAGCAAAGGCCAGCTCAGGACAAAGACGCCAGGATGCCAGCTCTCCCCAGAGAGGGGCCCCACCAGGCTGGACCGGGGACCCCGGAAACACACGGGCACCAACAGAAACGTCTGCTGTCTGCGCCCCTCTGCCAGCGACCTTGGGTGAGAACGGCGCGGGCGGACCGCTCCGGCATGTGCCACGGCCAGGTGCCCTGCGCGGCTGTCAGCACCTTCCCAGCCGGGGACGAACGAGCCCCCAGGCGGGCCGCGCTTTGCCAGGCAAACGCGCCGCGGGCCCCGGGGGCAGGAGGCGCGTTCGGTCCTGCGCTGTGGACGCCTGTTATTCCGGCCCGGCGACCTCGTTACCGCGATGAGAGGATTGTTCTGAAGTGGAGACATGTGAGAATTCACAGCTGCAGGGCGAGGCATTTTTCTCGGCTCCCTCTGACCTTCCCGGCAACGAAGCCTCCCCAAGAACTCCGCTGCCCTAGGCCCCTCGCGGGGGCTTTCCGGGGCAGCAGTGGGGTGATCGCAGAGGGGCGGGGAGACGGGGGGACAGGTCAAGGCGGGGTAAGTGGCGATGGAGGAGCCTGGACTTGGGGTGCCGAACGGGCAGTACAGCGGCCAGGAGATATGCTGTGCGTCTGAATTATTTTGCTAACCAGCGCCGGCCCGGTACGTTCAATGGAAGGGGGGGGGGAGAGATTGTGCAGGGTGCATGGTGGACACGCCACGTGCTGAGCAGTCAGCGCAGAGGACCCTGTCTGTGCCTGAAGGACAGCTGTGCGCATTACGAGGAAGACCTTCTACCGCTAGAATTCACCCGCGAAAATGCACTTGCTCACCGTCTGTGTTGTTTTTTTTTTTTTACTCTTTAGGAGTATAGAAGCTTTACGGGCAAAACTTTCTTAAGAACGACACAACAAAGTGGTTTTTAAAAAATCCTGAAACTCATCCCTTACGATTAACCAGAAAATTAAAATAGGTGAAGTAGGGATCGCTGCGTTTTTAAAGGTTGATTACTGGTTTCTCTGGAACCGATACCGACGTCAGGAAGTGCATCAATAACGTGCTGCCCCGCATTTCACAACAGCGCGGCACGTCCCGGTGGCTGGGAAGTCCCGTGGCAGGGGGTGCACAGCGGGGTTCCCGGCGGCCCCCAGGCCACCCGCCGCCCGCCCCCGGCCCGCCCCCAGCCTGTGGCAGGACCCGGGAGCCTCGCGGACACCTGCCCACGCATAGCGTCCGCGGGCGGGCAGCGCGGCCACGCCGGCCTCGGCTGCCCGGGCCTGCGGCCAGGGGTCCCCCCCTGCAAGGCGCCCGGGAAGCTGCACAGGAAGCCTTCCACGGGTGCTCTGCAGCAGGGCGACGGCGCAGGGACATCGGAAGGTGGCGTTGCTTTCACCTACTTTTACACAAAAGGATGCCACGGAAACACCACGTCAGACGCCCTCCACGGAAGCGTCCGTGTTTCACGCCGGCCCTCCGGCGCCGCCTGCCGCTGGAACGCTAAGCAGCAGGGGGCGGTTTCCGCTCCGCTCCTGCCTGGGTGTCCCTGCCTTCCTGTTCCTGCCACACTGCAGGCCCCTGATGTGCAGACCCCGCGGCAAAGCCGCCGAGTCCCCGCCAGGACGTCCCCTCAGCGCACGAAACGCCCTTGAACCCGGGAGGCACGGAGGCCTGCGCTGCGTCCAAGAGAAAAACGCAGCAGGTGCCAAAACCGCCTGGGACGCGCACAGGCCTCTGGGCCAGGCCGCCACGGGGGAGGTGGGGCGGGGGGAGACCCACCCAGCGGGCCATGAGCGAGCCTCCCCGACAGGGAGCCCGTGGCGGCCTTCCCTGGACATCGCCACACGGGCGCCCCACGACAGGGCCCCCCAAAGCCGGACCATACGTGCGGGAGAAACAGGACAAGGCCGCATCTGGGCGAGACTGACGCACCCACAAACAAACGGGGACTCGTCACCGGGGCGATGCCAGCACGCGCGCACAGCGGCGGGACTCTCCAAGTGCCCGCCCGCTCGCTTCTCCGACCCCAGGGGACTGGCCGGCGGGCCGTGAAAACGCACGGCGTCTGCGTTTGCGGGCCGCTGGGCGGGGCCTCGGGCCCCTGCAGGTGCGCTCCGGCGCCGGGCTCGCGCCCTGGGCCTCCCGCAGCGCCGGCGTGGGCTCCCCACCCACGGGCAGGCCTGGAGAGCCCAGCCTGCGCCAGCGGGCTGCCCGCCGCCGGGAAGGAAAGGCCAGGTCCCCTCCCTGCCCTGCCTCGGCGGCAGGCGGGGCTCCGAGGGAGGCGGAGTTTGTCTCGGCCGTCCCTGTGCTCCGGGCGCTCTCGCGGAGCGCGGGGGCGGCTGCACGGTCGGAGCAGCTCGGGGACCGGCGCGCAGCGTGACAACGGCACTTTCCCGGTGGACAGACGGACACAGGCCGGCACCAAGCGCGGAAAAGGGCTCTGCTGGCGGCGGCGGCGGGGGGCAGGGGCGGGCTGCCCCCCGAGGTGCAGCAAACGCCTTGGCGAGGGGGAAGTTCTTGGGAAAAGGCCCCGTTTCCATGTGAGCCGTGGTCGGGTGCCCCGCCTGCCCACACGCCAATGTCCTCGCAAGGGCGCGGACGCCGGGCCTGCCGGGACCTGCCCCGCCGCCGCCCGCAGGCTCCGGGGCTCCCGTGGCTGGGCCAGCGGGGGCCCTGCCCCAGGGGGCCGCCCCTTGCGGTAACACTGCCGTCTGTGCACAGGCTTCCCCGCGACCCCTGGCAGCCCTCCTAACGCTACCCCCAGGGACGTGCCGCCCTCGTGACCGCAGCGTCCCTTCCGGCTGGGAAAGGACACCCATGCGCAGGCTCAGTCTTCCCCGCTGAGCCCTGGGACCGGCTCCCGGAAGCCCGGACCCCCGGCGCGGCCTTGGCGGTCGGGAAGAAGCCGAGCCGAGACCACCCGCGTCCATGGTCGCGCCGCCTGCAGGTCTGCGTTCACAGACCACGGGGCTGTGCACCCGGCACAGAACGCCCGCGTCAGGCCGTGTTCGGTCAACACCGAACGGTCTCGGACAGGTGCCGGCACCCCAGGAGGCTCGGGCCATCCCTGTCCTGGTGACTCGGGGCACCGTGCTCCCCGACACCGGAGGGGAGGTCAGCACGCAGCTCGCACACGGGTCTGCTGGCACCCGCACAGCCCCGGCTCCCCGGGAGCCCCGAGCGCCACGTGCCTGACGGCCACCGGGACAGCGCCACCCCCCCCCCCCCCCGCCCCGCCGCCCCGGCCCCACGCACCTTGTCCGCAGCCGCAGGAGGGGAAAACCGCTTCGCGCAGGCCAGAAATATGTCTGGGTCCGGCTTGCCCTTCCTCACTTCGGGATCGTCCCCCAGAACGATGTGATCGAACAAGCCGAAGAAGTCCTGGTGGCGGCTGGTCTTCATCTCGAAGGACACGGCTCCCGAGCTGGTGGCCACCGCCATGGGCACGCGGTGCTGACGCAGATGGCGGACCAGCCGCTCCGCCCCTGGGGGGAGGGGAGACGCCTCGGTGAGGCGGGGGCACGGCCTCGGCCAGGACCGATCTGCCCACACGCACCCTGTCTGCCTTAGAGGGGCCGTGGGCCCAAAACCAAGGACCTCACGGCAGCCGCTCGGGCCTCAGCGTCACCCAGAGGAGCCGCCGCGACGCCCTTGCAGGGGGCCGATGCTAGCTTGGCCTCCGCTGGGGAAAGGTGGGTGCCGGGATTGGGGGGGAGCGGGGGGCGGGGGCCCACAGCGGGTCTTGGGGGCCAGCGGTGTTTCTGCGCAGAGAACATGCTTCTGGTCTCTCCCAGAAAACACTCTGCCGCTAGGCCAAGGTGGGTGGGCCACGGTCCCCCCCGCCCCCCTCTCCCGCCCCCGGCTGCAGGGCAGCCAGAAGCACAAACAGGCATCCACATCGACGCGTCCAAAAACTGGGCTGAGCACTGAGAAAAGGTCTCCGTCGGCGGAGGCCATCCGGGGGAGAGGGCTTTGAAGGTCACTGACGTTACATGTGTAGAATAAACGCAAAGTTCTGACTAAATAAATGCCAGGTGTTTGGGGTCCCCCTCCCGGAAAAAAAAACAGGATTAAAAACTAACTGTGATTCACTCTCACACAATTTTAAATCCGAAAGCACTGCTATAACCGCACGTTTTTTTCTTCCTCCTCACCAGGAATTCTAAAGGCTAAGTATTCACCTTTCTTCCTGGAAGCATCTTAAACTCAGTCGTAGTCCATTTCTAAGCATGTTTGGGCCCTGCCACCTAGCACACGCTTGACCTTGCGGTTTTAGCAAGAGACACGGGGCGGTTCTGACCGATCTTCGGTTTGCAAGCCCCGCGGGAGCAAAGTCCGCTTTCCTTTCCACGCCCAGCAGGCGAGGAGAGGCAAAGGGCCTGCGAACAGACACATTAAATAAACGTGAACTCGGCCTTCCAGTTTTTTCGTTTTTCGCACTGGGGCTTGTCTGGAGAGCCGTAGCTCCCTGTTTACCATCCGCGTGTTCGCGACTCAGTGGCCGCGGCCCCACGACGACCGTCGCTGATTCTGAAAAGGCGGCGGCCAAGGCCTGTCTTCACGTCCACTTCCGAAGCAAGTCTGTCGCGCGTGGGATAGTTCTAGAACGTGGACACGAACCCAATTCCCGCGTTCTGGGACCCCAGGCCTCACCGAAAAGAACGAGAATTGTTTTAAGACGCCCCGCCCAACGCAGGACGGGTGCGGAGCAGGCGACGGCAGTGGGACCCTCCGGAGAGGCTGCGGGGCTGCGCAGGGAGAGCGGCCTGCGGCAGCCGAGCGACCGGCACACGCGTGGCCCGAGGCGGGGGTGGGGGGGGGGCGGGGGGAGGGCGGGATCGGGGTTCAGGGGGGAGGGGCGCACCTGGCATGAGCGCCGCCGTGGGGAACAGCTGCTTGAGCCGCGCCTGGCTCTCCTCCACCAGCGCCTCCTTGTCCATGGGCAGCCGCAGCACGTCGATGATGATCTGCGCCGCCTCCAGGGCCTTCTTGCCCATCACCAGGGACTTCACGTCCCAGCTGTACTGCTTCCCGTAGCGGCCACAGATTTCCTGGAACACCACGGAGTAGAGCCGTTCGGTGTCTGCGGAAACAGAGGCGGGACGGAGGCGAAGAGCGGTTGCGGCGCGTGCCACGGCCCCAGGGAGTCCCTAGCGGCTGCGCAAGTGGACACACCGCGCAGTGCCAAGCAGACGGCAGCGCCCACGGGCACCGGGGGCGGCCCCCCCCGCGGTGAGGGCCGGGGCCAGCGCCCCCAGAAGCAGCCCGGCAGGCGCGCCCCGCGGTGGGCGCTGCCCTGAGGAGGCGTGCGAACGCACTCGTCTAGGCAGCCCGCGTGGGGACACCACATCTGCTGCGTGTCTCCCTGACTCTCCCACGACCACCGCTTCTGACACCAGAGGAGGGGCTCCCCCCCGCCAGCAGCAGGGGCGCTGCCTACAACGAACGCGGTCCTGCCCCTATGGACCCGGGGGGAGCAGGGAGTCCCCGGGGGGCGGGCTCGGCCCCCGCACGGCTGCCCGCCCGGCCCCGCCCCAGCGGCAACACCGGTGCACGGCGAGCCGCGCGGGCGACCCTGGGGGCGCTAACGCCACCAAGGCACCTAGCACCGCCACTGGGGCGCCACGCAGTCAGCAGCCCTGCACGTGTGCATGTTCCTGTCTCCCTGATGCACATTTAGACAGAGCGTATACACACCGCCCACAGGCCAGCGTGGCCGACAACGGCCCTGGGAGCAGGACCAGGGCGACGGCGACAGGCGGAGGAGGACGGAACGGCCAGAGCCCCCCCGCCGCGCGCGGTGGTCACCTGCGCCGGCGTCGCCGGCGTCGCGTCCTCCCGCGCAGCCCCGCCCAGGACAGAAAGCCCCGCGCGTGTCGAGGAGCAGCGCAGGCACTGGGACAAGCCCCCTCCGGGCAACCGCCCGGGCGGCCGTCGTGGCCCCGCGGGAAACGCCGACGCACAGGCTCGCCGAGGGCGGCAGCCCCCACGCCGCGCGGAGGGCTCTGAGCACCGGCGCTCACTGCGGCCCCAGGGCCGTCCGTCGGCGGCCGAGGCCACCTCGGGGGTGCCGTTCTCGGCTGCGTGTGCGCAGTGCACGCGATGACGGTTGCTGAAAGGAGCCGCGCGCCTTCCATAGCTTGGACCCGTTCTCCCCCGCAAGGAGACAGAAAAGCCCAGTCACAGTGCGTAACCGTGTCCTTCTCCGCTGGAGACACGGCTGCGGAAGCCCAGCACACAGGGGGCGGGGCGGGGGGGAGGGGCTCCGACAGGAAGAACCCGCCGGTGCCGAGCAGGGGGGACACGCCCGCCGGGTCCCCAGGCAGGCGCACCGGCGTGGAAAGGGACCCGAGGCTGCCGGCGCGTGAGGCGGTCCCGTGACCCTCCGAGAGGGCGGGGCGCGGGCCCTGCTGTCGTGAGCAGCCGGAGCGTTCAAGGTCAAGGTCATGAACGTGTTGCCAAGGCGTGGCCGCGCCGGGAGGAAGGCTGCCTGGTGGCCTCCACGTGGTTTCCTCTCGGGCTGAGTGTAAAAAAAGAAATCTCCGGAATTCACGGACTAGAGTGTCGCCCGGTCCTCATGCCTGAACAGGCTTCCTCAACACTCACGCTCTACCCGCCCGCCCCGGCCTGGTACAGGGACCTAACATGACGTCCCCCGTTGCATAATGGAGACACTTCTGGAAACGCGTCCAAGTTGTCACTTGGCAGCCAAACCTGGACGGGTTAATATTTATGGCACCTGGCCTGCGCGCATACCCACTTCCCTCTCAGGAGCACGGATGGCTTTGGTGGCGGAGGCTGCCCCAGGGCCCCCCACCCCAAACACTGTGTACAGCTCAGAATATACCTGTCCCCGCGCGCGCGTCTTGAAAATAATTGAAAGGTATAAATAGAACCGGCTCCACGGGATTTGGGCAACGGATTCTGAACCCACTGTGACTTTGGCTTACACCTCACTTATCTTGCACACCCTGCACAGGGCAATTTAATGCTTTTTCTCAAAAGTGAATATGCCTTGAAGATCCTCTTTTCTCCTTTCCAATTACCGGGGGGTGGAGGGGGTCCTCCTCAAGCCAGTGTTTTCTGATACAGGGAGGTGGGTGCCTTCGCGGGGCGAACGCCAGGCGGGTTCCCCCCGGGGGGGCCGACCCCCAGCTCAAGCTGGCGGACAAGCTGCAGCAGGCGGCACGCGCCCTCTCCCCCAGGAACCCAGCAGCCTCCGTCCACGTGGTGAAAACGACCTCTTTTCAATCGGCAATGGCTTCGCTTTAAAAAAATAAAACGGACCAACCCTCAGCTCACAGCCCGCTTCGTGGCGAGTGCTGGTAGGGTACCTTTTCTCAGCTGCTTTGATTGTGCGCAGGTAACGGATAATGAGGGAATCCTTTTTTTTTTTTTTTAATTCTCTGAGGTTGATCCCCTCCGATGTCCTGCTGGAGTTCAGCCACGGGTCCTCCGACGGAGCTCCCGGGGCGGGAAGGCCCATTCCCGGCTGCGCCCGGCTCTCCCATCTCCCGCTGGGGCGGGGCCGGCTTCTGAGCGTCATCCAGCATCGCCCCCCCCGCCACGCCCACCACGGGATTCCGGACAGTACGTGTGGACCCCGGTCCTGTGCCCCGTAAAGCCAGCGATGTGCTGATACCAATCAACGTTAACCAAGGAAGCGGACCTCTCCCCCTTCCCCACATAGGCTTGTTGGTGGAGGCTACGTAAACACAACCTATGGACTGCATCCCAACCCTTCTCCTTCGCTTTCTGTGACATCCACGGCCACTTTGCCTGTCACCTCTTTTCCTGTTTCCTCCCCTTACCCCCACATCCAACGTATACGCATCCGTTTCTAAGGAAAGCACGATTTGGATAATGACGATGTGTCGTATAGCTGGCCTACCATCCTGTATCAGTACGAGGAGTTTCGGGTGCACACCCTAGTAATGCGTCACGTTTCTGCCGTACAACGTGAGCACCTCAGGATGCCTGGTAAGCCCCTGTCACCATGGAAACTCGTCCCGGGGCTACAGAGGATGGTCCCAGCCCTGTACACCCATCCCCTCTGCCCTTGGGCAGCCTTCCCTCTGGCCTCTGTGTCTAGGAGTCTGTTTGTGCTTTGTTTGTTCGGTCTTTCTGCGTTTTTAGCTTCCACGTGTAAGTGAGGCCCTACGGACTTTGTCTTTCTCTCATTTATTTTGCTTGGGAAGCCGAGACTTTTTTTTTTTTTTGGTTTTAAATCTCTACCCGAGGATTTGTTTATTTTTTAGAGAGAAAGGGAGAGAGAAAAAGAGAGAAACATCCACGTGAGGGGGAAACACGGAGCAGCTGCCTCCCAGCCATGTCCTGCACGGCCAACGAACCTGCAGTCTTTCTCCACCCACGGAGCGGCCTGGCCGGGGCTGACAGCAAGATTTTTTTTTTATATGAGAGACCTTGAAAGTGCCAACGCGGCGCCAGGGAAGACAGGAGCCGGAGAAGGCCCCCCCCCTCCCCCCCGGGTCTCAGGAGCCCGGCCGGGCCGGCTGCAGGGGCTTCCTCCGAACCCCGGGCTGGCCTCGGGCTTCTCTGCACTCCGCGCGGCCACCTTGCTGGTCTCCTCATTCCTAGAAACCTAATGGCACGCACAGCGGGTGACAGGTGTTACAGGACATTCCCGCGTCCCTGGCACAAAGCACAGGGAACACAGCCCGGACCCTCGCGCAGGCGTGCTGGGGCTCAGGGCAGCTTCCGGCCCCGTCTGGCCAGGGTCCGCGGGCCCCGGCGGCCATGCGCCTGCCCAGCCCACCGCCGCCATGGATTGGAAGAGCGCGTCCGCCAACAGCGGCCGGCACCCTGGGGGGAGCGGGAAGGCCCCACTCCACGTGGACGGCGGGAGACGAGCACAGGACAAGGCCCGGCGCTGAGACAGGGCCGGCGGGGAGGAGCGCGGCCGTGGCTGGTCACACTGCCCGGTGGCGAGGCCGCGCCGTGTGGGCCAGGGAGCAGCGGCCCGCAGGTGACCGGAACGAGCGGGGGCTGGCGCCCGCCGCGGACCCCACACAGCGCAGGGCCGGCCGCCACCGCGTGCCCTGGGCGGCAGGGCGGTGGGACCGCTTTCCGGGGAGCGGGGGCAGCCAATGGCCGCGCCACAGCCTGGGGACGGCGAACTGCCGGGGATGGGCCAGGCGCGGGGCGCCCCAGGGGACTGCTTCGGGACGTATCGGGCCTGGCCTGGGGGCGGGCCCTGGGCAGGCTGGGCGCGGGATCCGCCGCGGGGGTGCCTGGCTTCCGGGCCGCTTGCTGGCGGGCGGCGCTCGGGGTTCCGGGGTCCCCTGTGTGCCGGGCACGGTGGGCGTGTCCTGCGCCTTGCATGTCACGGCCACCTTCTGGCGGCCTCGTTCCCACTCAGAGTTCTGGGGGCCACCGTCCTGACGCCTAGCTCCCCCCACAGGCCCGTGTCCGCAAGAAGGACGCTGGGTCACCCACGGGGGGCGGACAGGCGCCTCTGCGTCGAGGACGCGCAGCGCCAACGCCCGAGGTGCCCGGGCAGCTGGGCCGCAGCGGAGGCCATGCCAGGGTGCCCTCACGTGTCCCTCCAGTCACGCGCGTGGCGTGCAGCCCCTCCCGGGTCCGGGGCTGCCGCAGGAGCACAGCCTGCGGGGACGCCGCCAGCCGCGGCCTCACACGGGCCCCGGGCCCCCGGGCGAGCGGGCCCTCGGCCGGCTCCCAGCCAGGCCCCCGCGCAGCGCGGCCCCGCTCCCCCGCCAGGGGACCGCGGCCTGTTCACGCGGGTACGCGGACACCCTCTAAGCTGGGCCTTGCCCGCTCTCGGCTACGGCCATTCAGCCTGAACTGTGCCCACGCCACGCCCGTGCCGTGGACACCCTGGAGCAGGCCCAAGCGGCGCGCGGGAGGGGCTGCCGGCACCCGCAGGCCTAGGACGGGGGCAGCGTTGTCACGACGCACGTGGGCTGGGGCAGGGACGAGGGGCGCCATCCTGCACCCCCTGCCCCAGGCCCGCCTCCGGGCCCAGCCGCGCAGAGTCCGCTCTGCTGCCCCGTGGGCTGAGGAGAAGGCCTTGGTCGGCGCGGTGCGTGGGAAGCCCTCCGCAGC